CCCCCACCCTACCACCATTGCCTAAAACTACAATTCGTCAATACCCTCAACTGATCAACCCTCTAGTAGAGGCGTAGCGATGGGGGGGGGGGGGGGCAGGGGGGTACATATGTCCCCGGGCGCCGACCTTAGGGGGCACCAAAATGGGTTGTAAAAACAAATTAAAATGTCATTTTAGTTACTTTTTTCATTATAAATAGTTTGAGGGGGGAGTGCAAATCGAAAGTTTGAGAAGGCTGCAAATCGAAAGTTTGAAGGGGTGGTGCAAGTCGAAAGTTTGAGGGGGGGTGCAAATTGAAAGTTTGTCCCCGGGCGCCGGGAAGGGTCGCTACGCTTCTGCCCTCTACCCCCGCTGTCGTCCAACCACCCCCTCCTCACTCTGTTCCCCAACCACCCCCTCCCCACTCTGTCCCCCCAACCATACCCTCCCCATTCTGTCCCCCCAACCACCCCTCCCCACTCTGTCCCCCCAACCATCCCTCCCCAGTCTGTCCCCCAACCACCCCATCCCCACCCTGTCCCCCAACCCCCCCCCCCCCTTTTCTCCTGCCCACCCCTCCTATTACCTGTACTTGCCCCATTCATTCTCTTCCCCAACGGCGACTGCCGCCTGCTTCACGATGACATACGGCAGGGGAGATAAAAACCAGCTGACGTCATCGCACTTTACTTGCCGTCCGGATACCGGAGATTGAGTGGTATCAAAAGATAGGGCACTTTTTTCTTTCTGAATCTCCTCCACTTTTTTTCTCTCTAAGTCTCTTCCACTTTTTTTTGACAACCATCTAATACCACCATCCCCCACATCCCTCTCCTCACCCCCCTATCCAGGCAAGCCCCCCACCCCCGCTTGACCAAAGACGGTGTTAGCATAAGGGGGGAAGGGGGGGGGGGGTAGAACCGCATGAACTGTAAACAAGAAAACGAGGAACACACTCTTTTGATTAGCGCTGTACTCCTGTTTTATTGCATGGACTTTTCTTCTGGTTGTGTACCTCTTACTACGCGCATGCGTGAACTTTGACCCCTCCTAAAATAGCGTATCATTGAAGGCGACGGTATCCAGACAGCAGTATAAAATAAGCTAAACGCCAACATCTGCTTCATAACAAAATGTGCATAAAATGCGCATATATTACCTGCTATTTTTAGCTACTGGTGTTTGTCTAAACCAGATTTTTTGAAATAGGTGGGGGAGGAGGGGTAACTGTGTAGGAGGCCATTATGACGTCATGTAAGGAGAGACTGTGGGAGTAATTAGGCTAAGGTTAAATTAGGGTTGGGTTTAATTAGGGTTAGGTTTATGTGAAGGCTGGGACACGAGTCTAAGCTGTGATTAAATCCGATAGCGGCGTTGTGTGGGTTCAGGGTGAGCAGTGTTGTTGGGGGTGTGGTGGAAGTGGGGAGCTAGAACTTTGGGGTGGGTAGAGGTGTTTGGTTGTTGGGGGTGTGGTGGAACTGGGGAACTAGAACTTTGGGGTGGGTAGAGGTGTTAGGTTCTTGGGGGTGTGGTGGAACGGGGGAGCTAGATCTTTGGGGTGGGTAGAGGTGTTTGGTTGTTGGGGGTGTGGTGAAACTGGGGAGCTAGAACTTTGGGGTGGGTAGAGGTGTTTGGTTGTTGGGGGTGTGGTGAAAGTGGGGAGCTAGAACTTTATGGTGGGTAGAGGTGTTTGGTTGTTGGGGGTGTGGTGAAACTGGGGAGCTAGAACTTTGGGGTGGGTAGAGGTGTTTGGTTGTTGGGGGTTTTGTGAAACTGGGGAGCTAGAACTTTGGGGTGGGTAGAGGTGTTTGGTTGTTGGGGGTGTGGTGAAACTGGGGAGCTAGAACTTTGGGGTGGGTAGAGGTGTTTGGTTGTTGGGGGTGTGGTGAAAGTGGGGAGCTAGAACTTTGGGGTGGGTAGAGGTGTTTGGTTGTTGGGGGTGTGGTGAAACTGGGGAGCTAGAACTTTGGGGTGGGTAGAGGTGTTTGGTTGTTGGGGGTGTGGTGAAACTGAAGAGCTAGAACTTCGGGGTGGGTAGAGGTGTTTGATTGTTGGGGGTGTGGTGAAACTAGATGGGGGGCCATAACTTGAGGGTAGGTAGAGGAGTTAGGTTGTTGTGGTGTGGTGAAAACAGGGGCGGTCCCAGAACTTTGGTGTATTGGGGTAATTTTGATTGCATTTAGAAATTGGTTAATTACATGGGCAAGTAAAATACGCTTTGGATTCAAAAGTATATCCCAATTAGAAATATAAGCAATGTTTATATCTGTAAACAGAATTTTAACAACAAATTAATTATTATTTTCTTTCCGAAAAATAACCTATTTACCTTGTAAAAACTATGCTGCTAAAACCTTCATCCTAATGTATCGATAATCAATCATTATATCAGAGGAAGAGTCTGTTCTCTCATCTTAATAAACGCGCGACTAATTGTCACAGAGTTATCGAGGGGGCGATCACCCCCTCACCTTCCACCTCTTCCCCTAGAACCGCCACTCCCACGCTTCCATTCACCCGCTGGGTTGAAACCCCTAACCAGCTATTGTAAACGTAGACCTTTCCCATCTTGTACCGGGGTTCTCAAAATATACCCTGGTCCTTAAATATATACTGATGTCCTCAAGCAGATACCTGAGACTTGATATATTGTGTGAGCTCATAAGATAATGGCGGGTAACAAAAGCTACTGTGGAGAAATTTCCATGGAAATAAAATCAATATTTGCCTTTAAGCACTTCAGAAATATGTGAAATATCGACGGAATCAGACGCATAGTTGACTACTTTAGGGGTTTTACGGTAATACGGTAATGTGGGGTTTATCTCGTCTATGGGGGGATGTCAAATAGTAATTTGTTGGCTGGGATTTCTGGGACAGTAATAGAAGATAATATTATCTGGGAGAGACAGGATGTTACTGTTATCTGGGAGAGAAAGAATGGTGCTGTATCTGGGACAGTATGAGCGAGCCGAGTATCTGAGACAGAGAGACAGGTAGACATTGTGTTGGCGTACTCCTGCTCCACTGCCTCACTCCCCCGTGGCTGACATACCCCGCCCTGTACTCACCCGACCCCACGGGAACGTCTGCGGTTGTTTTGTTGTTTGTTTTTTTAGGTGGGGGGGGGGGGGGAGGTGGGAGACACGGGACATACATTGTCTGTCTAGTTACAGAAACGCGTCTGTCTAGATAAATAGCCAGCCAGACATTCCAAATGCTTGGGTAATTTTTGTCAGAAGACTTGTCTCGATGCCTTGACGTCCGCCTGTAAGTGCACGTCTTGACGTCCGCCTGTAAGTGTACGTCTTGACGTCTGCCTTTAAGTGCACGTCTTGACGTCTGCCTTTAAGTGCACGTCTTGACGTCTGCCTGTAAGTGCACGTCTTGACGTCCGCCTGTAAGTGCACGTCTTGACGTCTGCCTGTAAGTGCACGTCTTGACGTCTGCCTTTAAGTGCACGTCTTGACGTCTGCCTGTAAGTGCACGTCTTGACGTCTGACTGTAAGTGCACGTCTTGACGTCCACCTGTAAATGCACGTCTTGACGTCCGCCTGTAAGTGCACGTCTTGACGTTTGCCTGTAAGTGTACGTCTTGACGTCTGCCTGTAAGTGCACGTCTTGACGTCCGCCTGTAAGTGTACGTCTTGACGCCGCCTGTAAGTGCACGTCTTGACGTCCGCCTGTAAGTGCACGTCTTGACGTCTACCTGTAAGTGCACGTCTTGACGTCCGCCTGCAAGTGTACGTCTTGACGTCTGCCTGTAAGTGTACGTCTTGACGCCGCCTGTAAGTGCACGTCTTGACGTCTGCCTGTAAGTGTACGTCTTGACGTCCGCCTGTAAGTGCACGTCTTGACGTCCGCCTGCAAGTGTACGTCTTGACGTCCGCCTGCAAGTGTACGTCTTGACGTCTTGACGTCCGCCTGCAAGTGTACGTCTTGACGTCTTGACGTCCGCCTGTAAGTGCACGTCTTGACGTCTTGACGTCCGCCTGTAAGTGCACGTCTTGACGTCTGCCTTTAAGTGCTCGAGGCTTCAGACAGCCAACCTCCAGTTCTGGCCAATGTTTCATTCAACCGTCAGTTTTCAACCATGAGTCCCCCTCCACTCCACGCCCGCGGTATAAATGGGGGGGGGGGAGGCGACAGCCCATCTTGCCCCTTTATCCCCCCACCCCCTACATCTGGGAGATTGATCAGAACACCCTATACCCACTCCACGCCCGCGGTATATTTGAGAGTGGGAGTCTGTGGCACAGCCAAACTTGGCGCATAATCAGAGATCTATCAAAACTGCCCCCCTCGGCCCCATACATGGGATTTATCTGGATTAATATTAAACCAATATTTTCTCTACATCTTTCTCGGAGGGGTGAAAATTAACGCCGCAGCTCTCTGATTTATAAATTAACGCCATAGCTCTCTGATGTATAAATTAACGCCGCAGCTCTCTGATTTAGAAATATTTCCTCACCGGTGACAAAACTGACAATGTATTTCCCTTTAAAAACAAACTGAAAGATATTTTAAAATATATTAAAGCAACATATTATCTCTGAGTGATTTGTGCGTCTCTGGGGCATCAAGTCGACCTACTTCATCCTGTTACCGACCGGTGCCCGGAATTTACTTGTTGTTTGCAATGACGTCTTAAATAATTTGTCTTGACGTCTGTTTCAGCAAGTTGCGCCTAGTTTGTTTACACTCGGAAGTTTCAAAAGTTTCAGTAGACTGGAATAGTTACCAGAAAATGGAAGTTTTGCACATGTTGGCAAAGTTGAAGCAATTAAAGTAGACTAGAATATTTAGAACAAAATGGAAGTTTGACACAAATAAACAGTTGAAACAGTCAGTGTAGAATATTTACATCAAGATGGTAGTTGTACATAGTTTTACATAGAGACATAGACAGATGGACCACAGAATAGAGAAACCCATACTGACGAACACCTGGACCTCAGAACTTGGAGTAGAAATCACCCATGCTTATAAGTACCTGATATACTTGTCTATTCCCCAGCACTGAAGAACTTCCCATCGTACTGTCAGTGCTACAACAGTACTCAGCTACACTGTGACTACGTGAATGTCAGCCGCTTCCAGCTCAACCAGCCGTCCAACGCAACTGTCTTGTAAGTTTCAACCGTCCAACGCAACTGTCTTGTAAGTTTTAAAGCAACGACCGTCCAACCCCGCAATAATACAAGTTTTAATAAACCAACCGTCCAATGTTAAGTAGACCAACCGTCCAACGCCACACTAGACTAACCGTCCAACGCCACACTAGACTAACCGTCCAACGCCACAGTAGACCAACCGTCCAACGCCACACTAGACCAACCGTCCAACGCCACGGGTAGACCAACCGTCCAACGCCACACTAGACCAACCTTAAGTAGACCAACCGTCCAACACCACAGTAGACCAACCGTCCAACGCCACACAAGACCAACCGTCCAACGCCACACAAGACCAACCGTCCAACGCCACACTAGACCAACCTTAAGTAGACCAACCGTCCAACGCCTGATTTCCTTACCAAACGTACTGTCTCTAACCAGGTCAGCTGGTCAAACAGAAAGACGGCATAAACCTCAAACAATAATTTTTACTCAACTCATTTATTTATTACAACACACACACACACACACAAAACAAACACACACACTGGACTATACACATCTACTCTGATTGTCATTACCGACATTACCCCCACCCCTCCCCATTATTTAAACCGCATGAATTCCCTTACTGACTAAGCCAACAGATTATGCCTTAAGGTATGTAGTTATTTACATCATATTTCACAGAGTGGGATACTTTTTTTAATCTTCTTACATTCTTTTTTACATTTTTTTTTCTACTCAAAATGTCGAGATATTTTTTACATTACCTGAATGATTCTTTTGTATTGAATTTTCAGAACCTTGAAAGGAAATACAATTGAAAACATTTCTTCGATTGCGCGGGGGTTCCTTCCAAATCTCACCGTTTTGTAAGTTAATTAAACTTTTTGTTCTAGAATCATTTTTTACGAGCACCTTAGGCTCGCCTCCATCAGAGATCCGCCCTTGGAACTAATGTCCTATCATGTCTAAGAGGGTTGAGTGATGTTCTGGTGGCACCACTCCGACCTGCGTGCAGCCTCGTTCTGAGATGTGGGCATCAATTAAATTTAATTAACAAAACAATGTATTGCACCCGGAAAACGAGCGAGGAAAAAAATGCACTTGCGGCTAATGAGAACATTAAATGCAGTTTTTAATCATAGTTATGTTCTATTAAAGAAATACATTAATAATGGAAGGATTGGATTGTAATTCGTTGTACTTTTAAATGAGCTGTTTGAACTAATTTTTTAAAAATTTTAATAAGAACCTAAGACAAAATTAGGTATGCAAAAAGAATTAAGGAAAAAGAATCAAGGGCTATCCTTTAGTACTCGGTGACATGTGCTAATAAAAATGTACGTTTATCTCGTTTTCGTTTTAATACAATTTAACAGTGTATAGATTGTAAGTAACTAATTGGATACACGTGCATTTCGTTTGAATACTTATCTAAGTGCTCAAACTTTTGAAACCGGCAGAATTTTTTTACTGCGTTAATATGATAAATCGTGTTGATAGTAGGCCTACTTAAAAGCTAACATTAAAGCTAAACATGTAATGTTAAGTTATACATGAAATTAACACTAATTAAAGCAGTCTTATTTCAAACTATAAAAGTGTAAAACAAACAAATTTATGGAATTTTATTTTCCAGAAACATTGGAGGCAACCAGATTAAAGAATTGAGGTCCGGTGACTTCGACAAGATGTCCAACTTGACTGAATTGTAAGTCATTGACTTCGTGTGTTCATTTAAAACTTCTCAGTAGTTAACTGAATTGTTAGTCCCTGTTGATTTGAAGTTGTATGGCTAACTTGATGTCACATGGGTCCATTAGCTGTGTGGAGAGAGGGAGTCCGACACATCGGCAACATCTAGCTCTTCTCATTTTACTGTCCAGACTTTGTGCTTGGACTTCCAATGAGGAGTCATCCAATTAAACTATAGAGCCATAGTCCATGTCAATGTTATTGTCAGTATTTATATTAATTGTCATCGCTATTAACATCCGCCCACGAAAGGCGCCCAAATTCAAGCTGGAATCTTGTGTTACTTTGACCTTAGCTTTTTGAGTCGTAACCATAGAAACGGTTGTTTTCTACTCCCTCTGCACTAATTAACTTCCGGTCTGAAAGGGATCGTTTATTTTTGGTAACAGTAGTTACTTCCCTTGTCTCAAGTGACGTAGAAAACACAAAAGAAAACACAAAAGAAAACACAAAAGAAAACGATTCGCCTCAAATGAATGGTGTCGAATTCTTCAAATTAGTGTTTTGGGAAATATTATGAATTGCTGACTCTATTTCGCGATGTGTGTTTAATTTTAATGACTTTTTTGCTGGTTGTTTGTGTTGCTGAAAATATTGGAACCGACGTTCTATGGGGCAAGTGAAGTAGAGTCCATTTGTTTCGCTGATCTCGGCACAGGAAGTATTAGTGTAGTCAGGACTGACTTTATTTGTAGTCCGCAAACTAGGCAAGGTACCCATTAGGGCTTGGTGGATTCGTAGTCCACAAACTAGGTAAGGTATTCATTAGGGCTGGTTGGACTCGTAGTCTACAAACTAGGTAAGGTACCCATTAGGGCTGGGTGTACTCAGCGATGTACTAGAGATTCAATGTATTTAATCACGTCCGAGTTATATTGACCTAAATATGACGTTCAACACAGAACCTTCATATGCCGAGGTCACAGACACAGATGAACTCTACTTTATTTGCCCCATGGATGGTCAGGTTCTAAAGGGGAAGTTGACTTTACTAAAATGACGTTAATTCGCGTTCATATTTACAGGCACGTGCAAGATAATGAGATAAGTGAGATAAGTGACAACACGTTCATCAACCTGCACCGGCTACAGATCCTGTAAGTCATGATACCTGTTGTACATACACCAGCTACACATACATATGATGCACATACACCTGTTAAACATACATCTACACTTACATCTGCTACACATACATATGATACACATACACCTGTGCACATACACCTGCTGCACATACACCAGCTACACATACACCAGCTACACATTCAGCAGCTACACATACACCAGCTACACATTCAGCAGCTACACATACACCAGCGACACATACACTAGCTACACACATCTGCTACACATACACCAGCTACACATACACCAGCTACACTTACACATGCTGCACACAGCATCTACATACACCATCGTCACACCATCAATCCCATCCACCACCATTCAAATATACCAGCTTCTGCATACACCATCATTCACATACACCAGCATCACACCATTGTCCATATATATATATATATATATATATATATATATATATATATATATATATATATATATATATATATATATATTTACATGCACATAATTGCGAAGCCTAAGCATTACTTGTTATTTGTACTTATCAATATTCCAAGCGTTATGTATATGAACTTACTGTAACAAAGTGTCTAACATTTTTACCATTCATATCCTGTAGCAAGTCCACCATTAAATCTACGAACATATGTATAAATTGCACTTTTTATAATTTAAACCCCAATAATGAATTTTCTTTTTCTGGCTAGTTTTGTTCTATGGGAAGTAACTCATTGCAAACTAAACTCAATAGTAAAATCTGAGTTGCCGTTCTTTAATTTAATTTTTTTTTCAACAGGTATTTGTTTGAAAACAAGCTCAGCGAGATAAGAATGACTTACTTCACTGGGCTAGTAAACCTGGTCAAACTGTGAGTACCTCCGTCATTTCTTATTACTTTGAAATCTCATAAATTGGTGTATCACCAAATGAGGTGAAGAAAAAAACAGGTTTCAGTTGGCTTGGGATGACACATTGGTTACAATGGATGAAAAAAGAAGTTTCCTGGTAAAAAGATAAGCATGTATATATGTGGCCCTGTGTATATCGACATCTCTAAAACGTATTAACCATCAAAGATAAAAACTAAATTCCCATTTTTTTTCTTTCTCAGTGATTTGAAACACAACTTTATTGTTAAGATTGAAGTCAACGCTTTTAGAGACATGCGCAATCTGAAGACACTGTAAGTATTAGGCTGTTTCTACTGTATCTTTTGTTTTTACATTTTCTGTTTCTACTGTTTAATTATTTCTACTATCTGTATTGTTCTACTGTTTCTTCTGGTCTAGTGTCTATTGTTTAAAATGTTTCTACTGTGTCCACACAACTGAAACTTACTATCAGATACAACATCACCCCTTTGTGACTCATGAGCACCTTGTCCACTGTTTCTTAAAGACTAGACCCCTGTTTTTGACCTGTCCACTGTTTCTTAAAAACTTGACCCCTGTTTTTGACCACTGTTTCTTAAAGACTAGACCCCTGTTTTTGACCACTGTTTCTTAAAGACTAGACCCCTGTTTATGACCTGCCCACTGTTTCTTAAAGACTAGACCCCTGTTTTTGACCCTGTCCTTTATTTCCCCCATACAGGACACTGTACAGCAACAGACTGCAGGTTTTACAGAACGGCGTTTTCACTGGGCTTAGTGAGCTCGTCTCGCTGTAAGTTTAACTCTTGTTTAACTCTGGGTTTACTTAAGTTAACATTGGTTTAACACGGGGTTTATGAGAGTTTAACATATGTTTTATGTCATAGCTTTATATACCCGCCACTTACAAATATATTTAATTAGCGAACTCTGCCAGCTAAGATAGAAAACAATCGTGTAGATCTATAGTCAACAGCTCTGATTCTTTCAACAGAAATCTTCAAATGAATCGTCTGGTAAAGATTGAGGACAGGGTCATGGCCGACTTACCGAAGGTTCAGTCAGTGTGAGTAGAAAGCAATCGCATATCACATGACATTTCTTACCTTCTCTGTCGGCTGCTACACCTGCCATTTCTTACCTTCTCTGTCGGCTGCTACACCTGCCATTTCTTACCTTCTCTGTCGGCTGCTACACCTGTCATTTCTTGACGTCTCTGTCGTCTGCTACACCTGTCATTTCTTGACGTCTCTCTGCTACACCTGTCATTTCTTGACGTCTCTGTCGACGGCTACCCCTGTCATTTCTTGACGTCTCTGTCGACTGCTACACCTGCCATTTCTTGACGTCTCTGTCGACTGCTTCACCTGTTTCTTCCTGTTTTTGTGAGCCTTACGTCGTTGTTCCCCCCACAGAGATCTGTACAAGAACAAACTGAAGACCATTGAGAACGGTACCTTCAGCTACAACAAGGATCTGAAATACATGTAGGTCCTACTGTTTTGTTCTCCTCAACTATATACTTAGGGTCATTAATTAGTTGAGATCATTAGGTAGCGGGCACCGGTGTCCACTAGGTTTTAATATAAGGATTGGTGCTGAATTATTAGATCTAGAACTTCCAAGAAATAAGTATTTCGGTCATTTTACCTTGAAATAACTAATACTGTCATTTTACTATGAAATAACAATAACTCTCATTTCACCTTGAAATAAGTATGACTGGTATTTTACGATGTAATAAATGTTACTGTTTCCATGACAACTGCAGATACTTTGACAAGTTCTACATGTGCATCTACGCCAAACAAGCCGCCGTGTGCCGGCCCCAGGGGGACGGGATCAGCAGCAAGGAGAACCTCCTAGAGAGCATCGTGTTGCGGATCAGCGTCTGGCTGGTTGCGCTGCTGGCCTGTGGGGGTAACCTGATCGTCATCCTGGGGCGGTTCTTCATGCGCGAGGACAACAGGATCCACTCCTTCTTCATCAAGAACCTCAGTCTGGCCGACTTCCTGATGGGGCTGTACCTGCTCATCATCGCCGTGACGGACGTCAAGTACCGCGGGGCCTACATCGTCCACGACGAGTCGTGGAGAAACAGCTGGGAGTGCGACTTCTCGGGCATCCTGTCCACGCTCAGCACGGAAATGTCGGTGCTGACGCTATCGGTCATCACGCTAGACCGCTACATCAGCATCATGTACCCGCTGTCCTTCAGAAAACGTGGGCTCAAGCAAGCCTACTTCGTCATGGGCTTCACCTGGCTCATTTGCATAGTGCTAGCCGTACTTCCGGTTTCCGGATTAGACTATTTCGGCAAATCCTTCTACAGGGACAATGCCGTCTGCATCCCCCTCCATCTGCACGACCCCCGGGCAAAGGGTTGGGAGTTCTCCTCCTTTTTGTTCCTAGGGATCAACTTCGGCTCCTTTGGGTTCATCGCCTACGCCTACGCCGCCATGTTCTACTCCATACAGATGAGCGCTCTGCCTTTGCGGACTTCCAGGGAGTCTAAAGAGCGCTGTCTAGTGCAGAGATTTTTTTTCATTGTCATCACAGACTTTGTCTGCTGGATTCCCATCATCATCATCAAAATATTGGCCCTAAGTGGTGAGTGATTGTCTAAATATTGGACTCTAGTGGTGAGTGATTGGCCCTCGGTGGTGAGTGATTGTCTAAATATTGGCCCGCAGTGGTGAGTGATTGTCTAAGTATTGGCCATAGGTGGGGAATGATTGTTTATTTTAAACATGTGTGTTAGAGTGTGTTTGTAGGTGCTCTTCAGTCTGAGTGTAAGTGCGTAGCCGTGTACGGGTGTATACGTATAAGTGTGTGTATGTAAGTGTAAATGCAAGTGTGTGTAAGTGTGTATGTGTGTGTTCGTGTGTTTAAATGCGTGAACAAAAAGAGAAAGCGAAAGGTTGATATTTGATGTAAAAACAGTAAAGGGTAAAAAAATTAACTTCCTAGTAGAAAGGTACAAAATACATGCGGATATATTTTAAACTAAAAGTCCTTGAGTGGAAAGTCCCAGAAGTCCTCCAGAAGTCACGTGATAAGAACGCCAGAGTCCGCGATGTAAACATCCGGTAGTGTCCAACCTGTGACCATAAAATGTGATTATCTGATCGCCAGCTTTTAGAGCGCTACAACAGACCGACGTAACAAGTTTTAGTTGGGGGGGGGGGGGGGGAGGGGGGTCAATGCTACAACAGACGGACGTAACATGTCCTTAGATGGGGGGGGGGGGGGTTTAGCGCTACAACAAATCAACGCAACAAGTCTTTAGATGGGGGGGGGGGTGGGTCAATGCTACAACAGACCGACGTAACAAGTCTTTAGGGGGGGGGGGGGGGTAGCGCTACAACAGACCGACGTAACAAGTCTTTAGATGGGGGGGGGTAGCGCTACAACAGACCAACGTAACAAGTCTTTAGATGTGGGGGGGTCAGTGCTACAACAGACCAACGTAACAAGTCTTTAGGGGGGGGTCAATGCTACAACAGACCAACGTAACACGTCTTTAGATGTGGGGGGGGTCAGTGCTACAACAGACCAACGTAACACGTCTTTAGATGTGGGGGGGGGTCAGTGCTACAACAGACCAACGTAACAAGTCTTTAGGGGGGGGGGTCAATGCTACAACAGACCAACGTAACACGTCTTTAGATGTGGGGGGGGTCAGTGCTACAACAGACCAACGTAACACGTCTTTAGATGTGGGGGGGGGGGTCAGTGCTACAACAGACCAACGTAACACGTCTTTAGATGTGGGGGGGGGTCAATGCTACAACAGACCAACGTAACACGTCTTTAGATGTGGGGGGGGTCAGTGCTACAACAGACCAACGTAACACGTCTTTAGATGTGGGGGGGGGGGTCAATGCTACAACAGACCAACGTAACACGTCTTTAGATGTGGGGGGGGGGGGGGTCAGTGCTACAACAGACCAACGTAACAAGTCTTTAGATGTGGGGGGGGGGGGGGTCAGTGCTACAACAGACCAACGTAACACGTCTTTAGATGTGGGGGGTCAGTGCTACAACAGACCAACGTAACACGTCTTTAGATGTGGGGGGGGGTCAGTGCTACAACAGACCAACGTAACACGTCTTTAGATGTGGGGGGGTCAGTGCTACAACAGACCAACGTAACACGTCTTTAGATGTGGGGGGGGGGTCTGTGCTACAACAGACCAACGTAACAAGTCTTTAGATGTGGGGGGGTCAGTGCTACAACAGACCAACGTAACAAGTCTTTAGATGTGGGGGGGGGGGGTCAGTGCTACAACAGACCAACGTAACAAGTCTTTAGATGTGGGGGGGGGGTCAGTGCTACAACAGACCAACGTAACAAGTCTTTAGATGTGGGGGGGGGTCAGTGCTACAACAGACCAACGTAACACGTCTTTAGATGTGGGGGGGTCAGTGCTACAACAGACCAACGTAACAAGTCTTTAGATGTGGGGGGGGGGGTCAGTGCTACAACAGACCAACGTAACAAGTCTTTAGATGTGGGGGGGGGTCAGTGCTACAACAGACCAACGTAACGCGTCTTTAGATGTGGGGGGGGGGTCAGTGCTACAACAGACCAACGTAACACGTCTTTAGATGTGGGGGGGTCAGTGCTACAACAGACCAACGTAACACGTCTTTAGATGTGGGGGGGGGGGGGGGGGGGGTCAGTGCTACAACAGACCAACGTAACACGTCTTTAGATGTGGGGGGGTCAGTGCTACAACAGACCAACGTAACACGTCTTTAGATGTGGGGGGGGGGGGTCAGTGCTACAACAGACCAACGTAACAAGTCTTTAGATGTGGGGGGGGGGTCAGCGCTACAACAGACCAACGTAACACGTCTTTAGATGTGGGGGGGGGTCAGTGCTACAACAGACCAACGTAACACGTCTTTAGATGTGGGGGGGGGGGGGGTCAGTGCTACAACAGACCAACGTAACACGTCTTTAGATGTGGGGGGGTCAGTGCTACAACAGACCAACGTAACACGTCTTTAGATGTGGGGGGGGGGGGGGGTCAGTGCTACAACAGACCAACGTAACAAGTCTTTAGATGTGGGGGGGTCAGTGCTACAACAGACCAACGTAACAAGTCTTTAGATGTGGGGGGGGGGGGGTCAGTGCTACAACAGACCAACGTAACACGTCTTTAGATGTGGGGGGGGGGGTCAGTGCTACAACAGACCAACGTAACACGTCTTTAGATGTGGGGGGGGGGTCAGTGCTACAACAGACCAACGTAACACGTCTTTAGATGTGGGGGGGGGGGGGGGGTCAGTGCTACAACAGACCAACGTAACACGTCTTTAGATGTGGGGGGTCAGTGCTACAACAGACCAACGTAACACGTCTTTAGATGTGGGGGGATCAGTGCTACAACAGACCAACGTAACACGTCTTTAGATGTGGGGGGGGGGGGGTCAGTGCTACAACAGACCAACGTAACACGTCTTTAGATGTGGGGGGGGGGGGTCAGTGCTACAACAGACCAACGTAACACGTCTTTAGATGTGGGGGGGTCAGTGCTACAACAGACCAACGTAACACGTCTTTAGATGTGGGGGGGGGGGGGGTCAGTGCTACAACAGACCAACGTAACACGTCTTTAGATGTGGGGGGGGGGGTCAGTGCTACAACAGACCAACGTAACACGTCTTTAGATGTGGGGGGGGGGTCAGTGCTACAACAGACCAACGTAACACGTCTTTAGATGTGGGGGGGTCAGTGCTACAACAGACCAACGTAACACGTCTTTAGATGTGGGGGGGGGGGTCAGTGCTACAACAGACCAACGTAACACGTCTTTAGATGTGGGGGGTCAGTGCTACAACAGACCAACGTAACAAGTCTTTAGATGTGGGGGGGGTCAGTGCTACAACAGACCAACGTCACAAGTCTTTAGATGTGGGGGGGTCAGTGCTACAACAGACCAACGTAACAAGCCTTTAGATGTGGGGGGGGGGGTCAGTGCTACAACAGACCAACGTAACACGTCTTTAGATGTAGGGGGGGTCAGTGCTACAACAGACCAACGTAACACGTCTTTAGATGTGGGGGGGGGGTCAGTGCTACAACAGACCAACGTAACACGTCTTTAGATGTGGGGGGGGGGTCAGTGCTACAACAGACCAACGTAACAAGTCTTTAGATGGGGGGGGGGGTCAATGCTACAACAGACCAACGTAACACGTCTTTGGGGGGGGGGGGGGGTCAATGCTACAGCAGACCAACGTAACACGTCTTTAGATGTGGGGGGGTCAGTGCTACAACAGACCAACGTAACAAGTCTTTAGATGTGGGGGGTCAGTGCTACAACAGACCAACGTAACACGTCTTTAGATGTGGGGGGGGGGGTCAGTGCTACAACAGACCAACGTCACAAGTCTTTAGATGTAGGGGGGGGGGGTCAGTGCTACAACAGACCAACGTCACAAGTCTTTAGATGTGGGGGGGGGGGGGGGGTCAGTGCTACAACAGACCAACGTAACACTTTAGATGTGGGGGGGGTCAGTGCTACAACAGACCAACGTAACACGTCTTTAGATGTGGGGGGAGGGGTCAGTGCTACAACAGACCAACGTAACACGTCTTTAGATGTGGGGGAGGGGGGTCAGTGCTACAACAGACCAACGTAACAAGTCTTTAGATGTGGGGGGGGGGGGGTCAATGCTACTGAAGTACAACTATATTTACTAGTGCCTCACTGGGATGGCAGGGGGTTGGCGTGGTTGGCGGGGGGTTGGAGTCTTCGTTGCCTTCAACCGCTTTAAAAAGTGTTTCAGCCAGTCAAAGCGTTACCATTTGCAGACGCCAACAACTTTCAAGTCGAAAATTTTTTCTAGTATTGTCTGACAGTAACAGGAATCGGGGATAAGACAAAATATCCCAGACTAAAATCCCAGAAAAATATCCCAGACTAAAATCCCAGAAAAATATTCCAGACTAAAATCCCAGACAAAATATTCCAGACTAAAATCCCAGAAAAATATCCCAGACTAAAATCCCAGACAAAATATTCCAGACTAAAATCCCAGACAAAATATTCCAGACTAAAATCCCAGACAAAATATTCCAGACTAAAATCCCAGACAAAATATTCCAGACTAGAATCCCAGACAAAATATTCCAGACTAGAATCCCAGACAAAATATTCCAGACTAAAATCCCAGTCAAAATATTCCAGACGAAAATCCCAGACAAATTATTCCAGACTAAAATCCCAGACAAAATATTCCAGACTAAAATCCCAGACAAAATATTCCAGACTAAAATCCCAGACAAAATATTCCAGACTTAAATCCCAGAAAAATATCCCAGACTAAAATCCCAGACAAAATATTCCAGACTAAAATCCCAGATAAAATATTCCAGACTAAAATCCCAGACAAAATATTCCAGACTAAAATCCCAGAAAAATATCCCAGACTAAAATCCCAGACAAAATATTCCAGACTAAAATCCCAGACTAAATATTCCAGACTAAAATCCCAGACAAAATATTCCAGACTAAAATGCCAGACAAAATATTCCAGACTAAAATCCCAGACAAAATATTCCAGACAAAATATTCCAGACAAAATATTCCAGACAACAAATTCCAGACAAAATATTCCAGACTAAAATCCCAGACAAAATATTCCAGACAAAATATTCCAGACAAAATATTCCAGACAAAATATTCCAGACAAAATATTCCAGACAAAATATTCCAGACAAAATATTCCAGACAAAATATCTCAGGACAAATGATTTGAAGGACAATTTTCTCAGGACAAATTATATCAGGGCAATATATAGTATAAATTATATCTCAGACTAAATATCCAAGACAAAATATCTCAAGGACAAATAATATCATAGACATGTAGTTTTTATGTAATTTACAACGTCATGTTCGCTTTAGTACTACAGTTTTCATCATCGGTTTGTGACAACTGATACAGATTTACAATAGTAATGTTTCTTAATGAGATGTACTTTCATTCATTGAAGATGGTTTACTTATGCATCATACAAAAGTTCCATTTTTTAAACTATTTTTAAGCCTGGAAATGTAAATGTGTAATTAAATGGTGATTCAATGTTCTGTGGAGATAAGGAAAAATAATTTAAAATTAAAAACAAAAAAGTAAAAGGGCAATTTTCCTTTTCACGAGGTGGGTCGAGTGGATGTTGGCTTATAACTAGAGCTGAAATAAGTTTCCGATAAAAGAAGAATATAAATATTTTAAGCAGCATGGAAGATATGTAGAGTAAATTGAGACAACAAATAAAACATTCTTCCCTTTCTCTATCCGTAGTAGTCTTCATGTGATCGCAGGCAAACTATCTCGGAGTTAAATATTTATAGTATTTAGGAAGATTTCAGTCCATTCTTTTTCAATAGAATGTCATATTGTTTTTATTCTTGTTTTTACACATAACATTACAAATTTTTGAGAAAAGACTTGTAGCAAAGTCTTATCACATTGAAATATTAAATATTTTTAAATTGCTATTAGTAATATTATAAACGAAGATCAAAACAAAATTTCGATAGACGCGAAGGTTGGCTAGTCCTCCATTAGACAATAATACCACGGTAGGTGGATAAAACTAGATCTAACGGGATTGTTCATCTATTGATGAAAGGGCTATGAAAACACTCTCCGTGGATAAGACAATTAGCATCTTTAGGCAATAGCTATATTTTGGTCACATCATAGTGACAAATGCTTACTTGAACGACCGCGATCATAGCGGAACAAAGATATTCATACTGTGTATGGAAACTATGCACTTTAGTAGTGTTTACCCAGCACTTTAGTAGTGTTTACCCAGCTATGGCCTATATCGTTACATCGCAGAACGGCATCTGCACTTTTACGAAATCAGATTGAAGCTGGACACCAGCCAGGATAAAAAACGTTAATTTTGTGTTGATGATACCGCAAAAATATTGGTTTTAAGTTACCGATGTGAAGATCCAATCATCTTTTAAAAAACCATTTCAAGTGTTTCGAACGTTGCTTAATACATTAATATAATTTCATGTGTTATACATATTTTCAAGTGAAATGAGCAATTTAGTTTTAATTTTTTAAGTTTAAATTCAATTGCTATTAAGGTTTTAAGGCATGTTCTAACAAAAGTATTTTGATATGCGCTAACACAGGTGTTCTTGCATGTGGTAATATGTGTATACAGGATAACACCACATGTGCTAGACAGGTACCTTCACTGGTGCTAACCCAGGTGCTAACCCAGGTGCTAACCCAGGTGCTAACCCAGGCGCTAACCCACGTACTAACCCAGGTCCTAACCAACTCAGGTGCTAACCCACCTGCTAACCCACGTGCTAACCCAGGTGCTAACCCAGGTGCTAACCCAGGTGCTAACCCAGGTGCTAAGCCAGGTGCTAACCCAGGTGCTAAGCCAGGTGCTTACCCAGGTGCTAACCCAGGTGCTTCTGTCCCCAGGTGTGGAGATCTCAGAAGAGTTGTACGCCTGGGTGATTGTCTTCGTGTTGCCCGTCAACTCCGCCCTCAACCCCATGCTCTACACCCTCACCACCAAGCTGTTCAAGAAAAAATTGTTTTCAAAGTTCACATTTGTTGTCTTCAGGTATTTCACACATTTTCATTCCATCACGTATTTTATTTTAGGTAACCAAAACAAGTACATTTTCAGTCAATCGTATGCCATGTTAAATTGCTCATTTTATTTAAAATTTAAAAATTTAAAGGTATGATTATAGAGAAATGCCTGCTGATTTACACATTAATCATAAAAGAAGAAATCATTAAGAGTTATTTTAGAGTTGTGTCATCTATTGATTGGATTGTGAACATTCAGTGTCAGAGATGTACACCTGTAGTCTTAGATTTGTTTAGCTTATTATAGACCAGTTAGAGAGGTGTACATGTAGTGCAAGACATGTGTACACCAGTTAGAGATGTGTACACCTAGTAGAGTTGTGTACACTATTTTAATGATGTGTACACTAGCTAGATATGTGTAAAATTAATTAGAGATGTGTACACCTGTTACTTCTACTCCTAGACCCAAACCACTCACCGCGTCTACTCAATCCAGGTCCAGTGTAAAGTCTGTCGGCTCGTCCATGACAAGGCCCATGCAGTACTGCGAGGTGAGTTCACTTGGAGCACCCATTTACCAGCATGAGACAACCATTTACCAGCATGACACAACCATTTCCCATCATGTCACCCATTTGCCAGTACAGAACATATTTACGATAATGTCAGCCGTTTCCCATCATAACTCCCGCTTCCCATCATCTCCCATTTGATATAACTATTTTATTAATTCATAACCCTGACTGTTCATTTAACTAATTAACGTTGTCAGTTCCATACAATAATGAACCCATTTAAACACGATTGTTTGATATTGTTTGATCTGGCTCAGATGGGTCTACTGAAGAGGTACTATCCCACATCGTCGACTCGCAAGTCCGCTAAAGACTACATGGTGGACGGGAGTCCGAAGAACGCTGACCACACGGAGGACACTCATCTGGTCACGACACAGGAGCTGACCAATGGCAACGCACTCAAGAATCCGCTGAACGAGACCTACATACCATAAACGCCTTTTGAACTTTTGTGTAAAGGCAGCATGTCCTGTTAGCCGGCATCGACCGGTTATTCCGGCATAGACCGGCTAGACTGGCATCGACCGGTTATTCCGGCATCGACCGATTATTCCGGCATTGACCGGTTAGCTCGGTGATGACCAGTTTAAAGGCTTGTCAAGTCTCCGTTGTGTTTAGCCTGCTTTGATGGTCAGCCAAACCAGCTAGACCAGCTAGACCAGCTAAACCAGCTAGCCCAGCTAGACCAGCTAGACCAGCTAGACCAGCTAGCCCAGCTAGACCAGCTAGACCAGCTAGACCAGCTAGCCCAGCTAGACCAGCTAGACCAGCTAGACCACAGCTAGACCAGCTAGACCAGCCAGACCAGCCAGACCAGCTAGACCAGCTAGCCCAGCTAGACCAGCTAGACCACAGATAGACCAGCTAGCCCAGCTAGACCAGCTAGTCCAGCTAGACCAGCTAGACCAGCTAGCCCAGCTAGACCAGCTAGCCCAGCTAGACCAGCCAGACCAGCCAGACCAGCTAGACCAGCTAGCCCAGCTAGACCAGCTAGACCACAGCTAGACCAGCTAGCCCAGCTAGACCAGCTAGCCCAGCTAAACCAGCTAGCCCAGCTAGACCAGCTAGACCAGCTAAGCCAGCTAGCCTAGCTAGACCAGCTAGACCAGCCAAACCAGCTAAGCCAGCTAGACCAGCTGACCAAGCTTGACCAGAGAGACCAGGCCTTACAGTTCGTAGCATCAGACGCCCTAGCGTGAGCCAGGTCTAATGAAAGAGGAGTCCATACACTTGACGAAATCCAACTTTTTGGCCTAAACCGTTTGTTCTCGAGTTCGTCTGTGCGTCGAAATGATGTGTACACACCTGGCGTCAGTAGGTCACCGTAAGTCACTGACTTCAAGCAATCAACAACGTTTATGTTACCTGCTTCTAAGCGTAACCATGACAACTGGTCTGTTTCATCAACGCTTTTGCAGACCATAATATTTGTTTTTTTATTACGGCTCAAACTAAACCATCATTCACTAAACGCCACAGGTATAAGCGTATTAGTGTGTCGAATGTCTGGAATTATTTTCTATCTAATGTATTCGCCAAACTTTTTGATGTGGATCTTCTGTTATAGTGGAACATCTAATCCTGTTTTATAAGGAAGCTCAAATGTGTTTATTTTCATAAAATTGTGATATGTGACTCATTACTAGAGCGAAGATTCGCAGCTTGTATGGAAACACAAAAAGGCTATATTTTACAAATTGGTAATAATGGACAGCGTGAGGTGTCATTCGCCCAATATTGTGATTTAGCTCTCATTAATGTTGTATGGGAATTTATTGTTTCTTCTCATTTGTTTGTTATGTACATTCAGCGAAAACAAAGCAATGTTTTAATACGTCTCACGTGTTGAATAACGAATATATCAGTTGCTGGGGATGATTTATGTTCGGCGAGTGGTGGAATGGGAATTAACAAAACAAAACAGAGCGGCTTATACATGTCAACTTGTCTTGATGAAAATGTGTCATCAATCAGCTTACATTATGTTATAAATAACTGATGTTTAATTTTTTTTTTTTAAACTTGTTACACACATGTTTAAGTTTATGAGAAAAGAGTGTCTTTTTAGGCAGCATTACATGCCTAGATCAATACATTATAAGCTTGTAAATCGTACAGATACATGCATATAAAATAAGTCTTATTCAATACTAAACAACAAATGCTTACAGAAACCATTAAGTCTAAACAGTCAATTCAATCATACAATCTTGCTATGCAAAGATGCGACAGGTGACTAGAGCAATCTTTCAATCATAAAAAAAACTTGCTGGAGATATCGCAACACATCAGAGCCTATAACACAGACCTAAATACACACCAAACACGTCGGAACACATCGTGACCGTAAAAGGCAATACATTTTTATCATCTACCTCTTTTGCTGCAGTATACAAGTGTCGTGATTTTTAAATTTATTTATTTATTTTGGGCTCCACGATTTAGACCGCTTGATACACATTGCTTTAAAAGAAGGAAGATTTGATCAAACGGAAAATTCGGTTTCGTTTACTTTCATTTTTATCGCTTACTGAATTTCTCATTCTTTAACATTTCGTCGTTAACACCGAATAATTTATTCATTCTTGTTTGAAGAACTGACACAGAACATTGTTCTAAAGTATCAAATGTCCACAATTTTCAACAAGCAGGTCTTTCAAAAATGAATGTGTTGAGTTCAAAGTGTGGATTGCGTGTATGTGTTTAATGTTATAGTTTGTTGAAAACGATGTTGGTGTTTAGATATAAATAGTGGTGGTGATTAGATGAAAATGATGGTGGTGTTTAGATGAAAATGATGGAATTGATGGTTGTGTGTGTAAACTAAATTTCAGTGTAATTATTGTATGCTTGCCACTCATGAACCTATCTCAGCTTGATTTAAAACATAACATAATACATTGTCATGTGAATATTTTGCTAAAGAAAATAAAGAAACGAACCAGTGTAGATCAGTGTTCACTAATGTATCATATCAGAGAGGGAGTTTACATTAATGCCTAAACCTACTTGTAAAGACGATGTCCTGTAAATTAATCATTTATAAGATGGTACACCTCAGAATCCAACAAATGATGTTCAAGATTTATGTAGCGATCTGACGAAGACGTTTTGTCGAAGCAGTTCATTGCTTGCAGTTTTGTTTTCAGTGATGATGTGAGCGGAGTATGCTAGAACTTTGCGATGGATTTTAAAACAGATCCTGCTAATTTAGATGATTCCACGACACCTAACTAGGTATATGTATATGCCATATGCTACTACACCTATCGAAATACAACTTACCATCTTCGTTACACCAACACCTTCATCGAGGTAAAAATAAAGGGACGTGACAATAATGACTCCCAAAAATAATAAAAATCCAGTTACCTCCCTTCAAACACTAAACCATTGTCTTGTTTTTTTTTAAATGTAAATATTAGAACGTAGTGCACAAAGTATTCTTTTTATTTAAAGTAAATCAACAAATCAACATTTTATACCTCACATTTTTACTAAAAGTACGATAAGAACGGCGGAGTTTTATTATTTAAATAGTCGATAATTTAAACCATAAATCCTACACGATAATTAGCTTATTTGGGTGTTATATGTTAGTAAGGAGCTCGAACATTTTAAATAGATCTTAGTTTAGAACGCTATTATATAAACCAATTAATTTTGATAACATTAGCTATATATTTATATATTGCAAATGCGCTGAACATATAAAAATTTATCTCGGGCTTTTAAAGGGAAACAATCGCGAAGCGTTACCGCGATTTGTCTTTAGACATCGTCCTTCTCGGTGGCATCTAATACAATAAACTCTTAAATGTTAAAGGTTAAAGGTCATTTGTTTACCAGTGCTGCGGTAATATTAGAAAGCAACATTGTGAAACAACTTATGATAATAACTTTCTGAGATTACCATGTAATGGCATCCTTACAAGAACGTTATTAGATTACCATGTTATGGCATCCGTACATCCTTACCTAGACACCTGAATATCTAACTAAACAACTTTTTATCGTCCTGTCTTTCAACAGACTCTGCAGCTTGTTACAGACTAGTACACTAAATAGAGAACAGAGTTCACAGTTTTTGTGTGACCGTTGCTATAGTTACCACACTGATGGCCAACTGTAATATATTCAACATTCAAAATAAAAAGCACAATTTTGTTTGAAGCTAAGTAAATTTAATGAAATGACATTTTATAAATTTCACGGTAATAGAATGACTTCTGGAAATATCTATATACTTTATTGGATTCAAGACAGATCCGGGTCAAAATACAAAAGTATTGTTTTTCACGTTTTGTTAGAAATGTATCCTTAAATGAACACATTTTAAAAATGAGTGTAACGACTTATGAAAAATGATACTGAGGAACAAAAGATACATGCTAAGCGTACTCTGATGCAGGAATTAAACCTCAAGGTGCCAGAAGTACGTTCGCGGCAGAAATAGTTTTTGGGCCGGCAGTTTAAAAAATCCTGGAATATTTAGTTACCCAAAATATGCAAGTTTCCTTTACTTTTGATTTCAAAATAAGATTAAACTAGATCAGTTTACTGAATATAATGTGGAGGCGAGAGTCACATTGGGTGACTATTAAATGTTTGGTTTCGAATTTCTTCGAGAATCATGTAAGTTTGTTGAAACTTTTAGCAAGGAAGTTTAACTGGAACTTTAAATGTAAACTTTTTTTTAATCCTGGAAATTTACCTAAAACTTTTATTATGGAAATTTACCTGAAACTTTTAATATAGAAATTTACCTGAAACTTTTAATATGTAAATTTACCTGAAACTTTTAATATGGAAATTTACCTGAAACTTTTAATATGGAAATTTACCTGAAACTTTTAATATGGAAATTTACCTGAAACTTAATATGAAAGTTTACCTGAAACCTTTAACAAGGAAGTTTGCCTTAAACGTTTAACAATGGACTTTTACCTTAAACCTATAAACAGGAAGCTAATCTGAAGGATTTCACCTGTCTGTGTAACTTGATACTAGATCACCTATGACCAGTCTGGAACCTTCCACTGTCTGAAAAAGCTTAGATTCCCCACTTAATTTCCACATTTGGTAGATATTTCGTAACTACTGACAGTAAACGTAAGATTGATGAATTTAAAAGTTCGGGTTAACTAAATTTAGACGTTTCATTGCTAAAAACAACTGACAGTAAACATAAAATTGATGAATGCTAGACTTGTAAAAATGAACAAATGTTCGCCATGATGAGAAATATTCAATTTCTTCCTGCTGTAAGGTGATACCCAGCATAGCCGTGTGCTAACTGAAATTGTGACAGAGTTGAAATGAAACGCATTTTTATTCAACAACAACGCGAATACACAATTAATTTGCTTTGCGATAGATCGCAATCAAAAAAAAACTTATTGTGCTGGATATAGATTAAAATGATGATTAATTCTTTTTTTTAAACATCTACTGGCGGCTACAACGAAGAATTTTTATTTT